AGGAAGGAAAAAGAAGCTAGTCTTCTTCATTGTTCTGCTCCCCCTGTGTATTTTTTGCCTTACCTACCTACTACAACCCATACCTGTAGTGCAAGTCCATTAGTGCTATTTAGTTCTAGGTTTAGTATATCTTGTTAACAAAAAGAAGAAAGGTGTCTTATTTGGCAAAACATTGTATTTTCAGCACCTTTTTTTCTCCCAGAGCGTATGAGTATTAAAGTTACATCAGAATATAGCACTTAAATTTTAAAGAGTTTAATGTAATTCTCAATGTTTTGAAAATTAAGGCTTAGCTGGTGTGTAGGTTCTTCACGATACGTAAGGTAAGAGAAGACCTCTTTCAAATAGTGTATGATGCTTAAGAACTAAACAAAAAAGTAATACTGGGTGCCCTGTGTAAATATCAACTCTGAATCATTTGATTATTTTATGCTGGCTTAAGTAAGCACCTGAGACCTCAAGTAAGGGATAAAAGCTTTTGACAGAGGACAGTAAATATATTGCAGGAAGAAAAGTTGAGATGAAAAGGATAGTTTTGTGAGTTAAAGTATTACACACTGGGGAATGATAGTGCAATTTTAAGGTATGAGTATGAAGGATTCACACAGAGTTCTCCACTTGTTTCAGCTTACTGTGTATGCCAAAGTGACTTAAACTTTCCTAGCTTCAGTTCCCGTAAGGAAAACAGATGATAATTTATTCCCTACTTCTATAAAGGTCAAAAAAATACATTATAATTTGGAACTGAGGTGATTATACAGACTTACGGTCCTCATATCTGAATGGAATTTCTGAATGTCAGAAATTACACTATTTATTCTTAATGAGAAACTCAAGGAATTTCTCAAGGAATAGAGAACTAGAGAAATAGTATTAGATAGTAATCTAAGTTGTAAGTAAAAAATTTCACGTCTTGAATGTTTATCCTTTATCAGATAATGTTAAATTTACTCAGCTTTTTCCTTGTTAGGAAAAGAAACAGCAAGCTCTAGTGGAATTACAGTTAATTCATTTTATGTTGGAGATAATTAAAATAAAGTTATATAATATTTTCCAGGTTCTGTTGGATTAAAAGAATCCATAGAAATTAAAAATTAGTGTTAGCGAAATCAACAGAAGTTCTTTTGAAATAACAGGTATTTGTATCTACATCCATATGCTGCTTCAATGCACCAGTTTGAATAAAAGGAGTGATTGTCAAATACATTACATATGGGTGTTTTTCAAGCAGAGTTTATTTAAATTATTTCCACACTATGTCCTTAACATGTCTGGAAAAAAAAAATAATCATTTTTCAGCATGTCTTCATCCAGCAAATTTGGTGATGACAGGTGAAGAGAAAGTAATATAACTTGACCTATGACTATATTGGTTATAAACATCTTTAAAATGCAAAGTAAGGGGAAATTGCTCAGCAAAGGAATTGGATGCTTAGATTGGCATGAGTTCTTTGGGAATGTGCCAGTGTAGATATGATTGTGCCTTTTTGCTGAGAATATCAGATCAGCTTCTTTAATACAGTATAATTTCTTGAACTTCGTTCACGCTTGTTTTTTTCTATTTTGTTTTTGCATCCTAGATCATAAAAGAATATAAAATCTGGAGATTACGTGGGCCAAGGTGACTTTTATCAGATCTGTAACTGCATGGACTGCTAATCGTAATTGATCTTCTGGGAGTACAGATATTGGAGTTTGGTTATTCCCCTGTCTTCCTGTGTATAGAAATGTAATCCCAGTGGACAGAGGTCTGACTTCAGTCATGAGACTTTCATTCTCAGAGTAGGGGAATCAGTATTAAGTACACTACGAGGTGAGTATTTCTTAAATCTTTAGGGTTTTTTTCATTATATTGAGGATATATTGACTTAGAAGCAGTTTATAGTTTTACTTAAGCTTGGATCAGCTTCTCCATGAAGACAAGTAGGTAAAATAGTTAAACCTCCTCCGTAACTCTTCAAACTTCAGGAGCCTTGAAAGTTACACACCTTAAAATTTCATGGTTCCTTCACAATTTTGTATTGTTGGTTTTGTCAACATGGTTGGTTGGTAAGATGGATCACCTAGAGTGCCAGTATCTCTCTGAAGAAAGGGACTTTCTTCTAAGTGGGTTCATGGTGTATGTGAACATGTTAAATATGCATGTACTTTTCTGGACTTCCAGAGCACATGATGGAAGATTTAGAGTGGGAAGAATATTTCTCAGTATTAAAATGGGTGAGGGGGAAATAATTTATCTTGAAGTCTTTTCAGATTAGCTGTGAGTCGCGGACAGGGTTGGTCTCAACCTGTTACTGTAATACACTTCAAAAATGAGTACTGTGTAGTACCATGAGTAATAAAATCATTTGTAAAGGTTATGAATTAAAGACAGCTGAGTGAAGGTACACAGCAATAGTCATGCTAGCATGGTACAGAAAATAATTGAGGTATTGCCTCTAACATAAAAACAATGAAGAAAATTACAATCTTTAGTGAAAACATACGTACAAGAAAATTTTGTTGGTGGTTATGTTGCTATGCACTGTGACTTATAATAGTAGAAGGAGACCCAAGATGGCTTGTAGCACCGTACTTATTTTTTGTTCTGCTTGAGGTGTTTTCAGACAATCGGCTTACAATGGAAAAGGGTAGATAAATGTGCAGGTCATATAAACCAGTGTTTCAAGCATTTTACTCACAGATTTTATTAAATTATGATGATTTCATTTTTGTGGTTAGAAATCGGTCTATAAATTTTGAAGTATATATTTTTGAGTAGTCTTAAGTGCATTGCTGCCTTAAAGTCTGAGAGAAAAGTTAGTTCTCTGACACAGGGAAATTTGCATCTAAAAGGCACATTTGGCTCAGTCAGCTGTGTTGATAGTTATTCGGTGTCACCTGTTCTCTGTTAAAGCTTAACCAATTTGCTAAACTAGCATCCATCTAAACCATTAAAATGTAAAGTCTTAAATATTAAAAAGCTAATGCTAATTTCCTTTGTGTATCATATCTTACTTTTTTGCTAGGTAAGTACTAAATGACTTTAAAAGTTTCTGTTCCCGTAAATTTTGCTGTATTTTTTACTAACTTAAAATACTCTGAAATTTTATCTTGATTTTTCTGTGGTGATCTGGTAAATTAACAACTTTACTGCTTAGACATAGTACTTGTGAAAGAACATTCACTTGGCTGACATTCATACAGTTTTATAAAGAAGTTTGTAGGTATGTTGCTTCTGTAGCCACAATAAAGAGCAAGTGTGTGCAGTGAACCATCTGTGATCTTTGTAGTGCTATTCACTATTGTACAGAGCCAGCTTGACCCAAGTCTGAAGGTTACATTTCCTTAAGAGGGCTTTATCTCTGAAAAAAACCATAAACCTCTCAACTTCTAGACAGAACAGCACATCATCTGCAGTTGTTAAGGCTAAAGTGAGATGGAGGGCTGTCTAGTTTGTTCAATAGGAAGATCTTAAAATAACCTCAAATACTTTGCATTTTCAAGATCAAAAATACGAGAGATTTGGATATAAAACTCAGTACTGTCACGTAGTTAACATCTGCCAAGTGTTTTATTTAAAATATAATGCTTACATCAGAAGCATGTGGTGAACTTGCCTTTTGAGACTTCAGATTTACAGAAAAGTGTGAAGTCAGGGTTCATCTTCCTGAGATACAGAAGTATCGGAGAAATCAGGTATTTAGTACATCACATCACCAGCTACTTCAAACCTCACAAAAATATGCTAATGATACCACATGGGATACGTAGTTGTGTACTGCAGAAATGGATAAAATGCACAGAATGGGACTCAGGGTGGAGAGTAGAAAAGATTTTGTGCCATACTTGTGCCAATCCTATCAAAAAATCCTTGCTTTTCTGGGGAGATACTGCATGAAGACTGAGGAGGTAAATGAACACCTGATTGACTCTAAAGAAGCCTTGTGGACTTGCAGGCCATCTGGCTGCTTCTGGAGCTGCCTGTGTATTTGCCAGTTTTGCCCGGCCTTGGAGCACCTTTTGGTTTAGTAATAACTTGTGTGCTCCTAGTATGACTTCCGTGAGTGGGTGGCTGTTAATGAAACAATACCCCACATGCCTTAATTGTAATAGGAAGTGTGGTTTCTGTTTAAGTGTACTGCTAACATATTCACTTACAAAGAGTGAAAGACATTTTGCTAACACTACTGTTTAGTGTTACTGATTTATCCCACACAAGTAAGCTTGTATCCCGCATTGATACCTTTTCAACACCCTGTCTCCCACAGTACAAAAGTACAAGCAGTCTTACCTACAGCTGTTGTCCAAAACATTAATGATACCCCTTTTTTGTCATGTGCAGTCAGCATTTATTTTTTGTTATAAAACTTCACCTTTTTTGAGTGAGGCTTTTGTAAAGGTGAGAAAGTAATAGTGATGGCTTTGTGTGTTAAATATTTTTTCTGCAGAAACCACATACAATAGGGCAGAGTAAATCCCCTTTCCTAAGCAACTCAAGTAACTGCAATTGAGAGAGCCAGCTGTCTTGTGTGCTATAACAAGTTAATCCCAGTGATGTATGCAGTTGTTCTGGAAGATGGATTCTGATAACTTTCAGAATGATTTCATCCTAAATAATACACACACCCCCCACCCACCCCCAATTTATTTGTTTAATTTTATTTTTTTTTTTCCCCTGAAAAATACATTGGATTTGTGCAGGAAGATGTGCTTGATCAGTATTATAGCACCTGTTGAGCTATACCATATAGTGTTGTTCTGGCATTTGTGTTACTAAGTCAAAGCTGAAAAGTATTTGCTGTTCCGGAAATAGGTTTTACAGAAATACACTCAAAGCCCAGGGAATTATTGCTTGTTTTAGAAAGTTTTATTTTCATGACTGTTCAAAAGAAAAACCACAACCCAACCAACCAGTTTAAGAAAATACTTTTTCTAGAAGAAAATAAAAGTTGATGCTGACCTGATAACTTGGCCTTTTTTTGTCTTCTGATCCTAATAAATCAAATCTGAAGGCTTTTCAATGGAAATACAGCTATTATGACCATGTTTCTTTGACTAGTTGCCTTACTTTCATCTTGAGTCCTGTATTGTTTTATCAACCTCATTTTATCAGAAGATTTACATCCTAAAATGGATCTCCACTGGAAGTGTTACCAGTGGTTAATTTTCTGCAGGCTTAACCATTTTTTGTAGAAAAGCTGTGATGAAGTCATTCTATTATTGAGGTTTTTTAATATGCTGAAATATCTGGTAGAATATCTTTCTTGCCAGAAGATACAGCAGTTTAGTTGTTTAAAAAGTTCTCAAAAATAAGGGTTTGCAGAATGAGTGTTTTTCAAAAAAACCCATGCACAGCACTTTTGTCTATCTTTGACCTTTTACCTTATTTTTCTTTCCTACTCAAAAGGTCGCTGCTCCTCAGAACTTTAAACTTAGTTTGTAGCAGCCAGTGTATGTTCAGATCTTTTTAATTGTGGTTTTATATATTGCAAAACAAAAATCAATAAATAGAATTTACTTAAAAGGAGATGTCACAAGGCACAAAGGCAGTAAGAAAAGGATTACGAAGTTAATCACAAAAGCCTACTACCTTTGCTTCAATTTTCAAACACAATGAAGACTATCTCAGTGGCTGAATTGAAAATGTATCGTCTGTGTTCATATTTTTGCATCATTTGGTTCCATAAAATAATCCTTTTGAAGTAGAATTGCTGATGAAACTGCTGAGTGGATGCTTCCATATGATCCAAGCTTGGTTTTACAGAAGAAATATCTTTATTTCAGATCAAGGAAAAAAACTTCCAGTTAGAGCACAACTTCAGAAACCACAGGCCTCGATCCTGCAGGAAAGTAGGTACACATTAAATGTTAACAGTGCTATTTGATTGCTAGCCTTAGTAGTTTATTTTAATAGTTATGAAGAACAACTTAGTGTTTCTAGCCTTTCATTCAGTATTTTGGTATAACTTCTGGAAAGTGTCAGGCTGTATGAAACTTCTCAAAACACTGATTTTGGTTTAAACTGTTGATCTCGCTGCTTATGCTGCAGGAATATTTAGGAAGATTTCCATTGCAGTGCCTAAATCATAGGTGTTTCATATTAAAAAATGCTTTGTTACTGAAAACCCTGCAGATAAAGAAAAAAAAATTTGGATACATGTTATTTCATGGCTGATTATTGCTGAATATAGCTTTTGTGTATTTGTAAACCACCTGTACCTGTCTTGAGGGCAACATATTGTAGTCCCCTGGTAAATAGCGATTGACAAGAACTGAATACTGAATGGATTAGTATTGCTGCTATTTAATATACAGAATAAGTACTAATAGAAATTACTTTATGGTCAATAATGATCTACATTCAGGTAGCATTTAGAGATAACTTTATACTAATGATTACAGGTACTTTTGTAGGCAAGTGAAAGCTTTTGATTTTCATAAATTTAGATACTGATTAGTGGGATTCTTGCTATACCACTGTGTCTGGCTAGTGACTGCTTCTGTACACGGTATTCCAAAAACATTATTATTTGAGCCAAGTAACAATCTTGAATAAAAATTACCTTTGGTTAAGCAGGTCAGTTAGAGATAGGATTACAATCTTTGCATGAAAGCTTGTATTAAAATTTAGATAAAAGGTATTTGGTTATTGTTGCCATCACCAAACAGAAGCTTAAAAAAATAGGTCTTGTTGCTGCCTGTCCTGTCCATTTCCCCATTTGCCCGTATGTACATGTACTTTCTTCCACATGTATGTTCTTTTGATTTCTTGTTAGGTTCATTAGCCTAGTGTAAAGCAATTCACATAAATCTCATTGAGCTGCTGTTCACTTACAGGTATAATCTTTTAAGCCTGATGATATGATACATCCCTCTGTCTTATGTAGAATGTAAGATTGCTTTAGCTACAAGTTGCTTAGCTTGATTTCTAGCAGTTTTTATTTTCCATTGGGTTCCTCTTAATACTTATATTTTTGGACCAAGTTCTTACTGATTTGATGGATAGGTGATATTGCTGGTGCCAGCATGAGCTGTTGCCAAAAAGATCATCCTTCTCTTTTCTGGCAAAAGTTGCAAGCAAACATGTAATGTGTTCACTTTATCCCAGAGCTGTTTCAGATTCTAAGTATATGAAACTGTTAGTACACTGCTTGCTGTTTCTTCCGTTTTTCAAGGTTATTGTACAGCTACAGTATCTGCCTATTAAAATGACGCAGTTGAATTTTGGAGTAGCATGGTAAAAGTGCCAGAAGAGTTTCCTGGGATGTAGAGAGAAAGGATTTTTTTTTTCTCTTTTTTTTTTGTTTTGTTTTGTTTTGTTTGGCCAGTGTCTTGGTAGATGTGCTACTCTACGAATATATGTGAAGAACTGAAAACCTCAACCAAAGAGCCCTACAGCTTGGATTGAACTGAAAGTAAATACTCTGAACCTGGTTATTAACTCATTTTCTTCTGTTGTAAGGTCAGTGAAACAGTGCTTAGTTTTTTGTTTGTTTTGTTGGGATTTTTTTTGCATTAGAGACAGAAGTATAAAATCTAGTGTGCAAATGAGGGAGAGGAAAACTCACAGTAGAAGTTAAAATTTAGAATTTAAAGGATAAGCTGGTTCATGTATTTATCTACAGGGCCAGCTTTTAAGCAGATAAAGGACAATAGAATTGCTTTTGCATACTGTAGGAATCAAGTTAGTAACTACTTACTGCTTAGGATGTTCATCACCAAGCTGTGTTAAATCAAAGCTGCAAGTTAGAAGAATATACTGGTTTTATCCCCAAAAACGTAAGTGTAGGGGGTGTATGAGTATTCTTGAGGGGAAAAGGAGTTACACTTTTGCATTATATTGTTCTAATCCTTTGTCCTTTGTTGTCTGTTACTTCTGTAATTTTATTTGTAGCTTGAAGCTATAGTGTGTTAACAGGCATAAAGAAACTTACTCAGAGGTAGAATTAGTGTGGTTTCTTTCAGTGTTAGAGGGCTTAAGTAAAGGCTTGATGAAACTATATTTGTATGTAACTTTTAAAATCAGGGATTTAGGCATCTGGCTGCCATTAAATTCAGGAGTGATAGGAAGCTGAAGCCGTGTCACCCTTTTTAAATTACTTTGGCCTAATGCTTAACTGATCATCATGGTGAGTGAATAGTGAAATATAGAATGAAAATAATGAATACTTTTAAGGTATTTTAGGGGTAATTTAAGGCCACGTATATAGCGTAACAAAATGTTCATAGAGTAATTAACTATTGGAGGAGGATTTGTAAAGCTGTTTTTAGTTTTGTCCTCTGCGTAGCAAATGACTAGAGATTAACAAACTGCTAATGACATAGTTGTTCATTTTGAAAACCTTTAAATTTAGAATTCCTGTCTTGCTGTTTAGATCAGGGGAAGTACACTGTGTACCGTACATAATGCATTTCTTGTAAATAGGTATATTAAACTTCAGTTGCAGTGTCTTGCAAATGTAAAACCTGCTGATGTAGTTGCTGTTTTTTAATAGCTCAGACTCTGACCATTTCAGAGATAAAAAGCTAGGCTTTCATTGGCTATTATGAATAGAGCACGTTTCCACAAATGAAGAAATGGTGTAATAATTAACAGGCATAATGGATATGTGCATTCAGGTTTCAGTTATACCTTTATGAGCTTTAGCTGCTGTTATCTTTGGTGTAGCTAACCCCTTGTGAATCCATACGTAACTGCATCACAAAAATAGATTTGTTCTGTTGCAATGGCATTTAGCTAATACGAGTAGCTCAGATTTTTTTTCATTGGCATTGGTGGGTTTTTAGTACTGTGGTAAGTCACTTTTGTTATTAATACATTTTTATTGTGTCAACGCTATATGGGTATCAGGTGTGCTTATAAAATACTTTTTAGGACAAGCACCTGAGTATGTTCAAAGTACTCCTTAATATTAGTTACAGATTCTAATGTGTATTCATTCTAGTAAGACTGGAATAAGATGGTATCTTATACCTGTGACAGGTTAGTATTCATCCCTTGTAGAAAAGGTGAAGATTGAAATGAAAAGAGCTTCTCGCTGTACCAAAGCTCAGTTTGGAAATGACTGATTATTTCACTAATCTCTGCATGGTATGCAACTTCTTTAGAAGTGGCATGGGCTTGTGTCAGAATTTGGCTGTTCAGTGTCTTTTGTACTATAGCACATGTGTGGAAGAGAAGTTTGTTTTTTTTTTTAATTCATTTGAGCCTTTTATTCACTTGAATCTTTTAATAAAAGAGACATTTATATTGTTATGCTATAGACTGTCTAATTAAGAAAGCTACCCATCTGTACTGGCTGTAGCCATGATACTAACAAATGAAAAAGCTGCGACTAGACATATACATTTTGAAATGGGAGAAATTATTTAATCTCATCCATGAGGTTTCATTTCCAATTTCATTTCTAAAGTTCATTTAAAGTAGTGGTTATTTGTGTGTTACCATTCTTTAGTTATATAACTTTAAGCCTTTCACAAGTATGGGAATTGTCTTCCAGAAGTTGCATTTGTGAGCCTAAATTTATTTAAACATACAATTGCAGATGTTTGGATATAGCAGTCTTCTACGTATTATTTGTTTTGCAGTGAGCGTAACACTGAGTGATAAGATACTGTGTTTTGTAGCTTCTTTGTATTATGACATGATATGTTTAATTTTGGTGTTTGTATATTGCTTTTCCTGTTACATCTGTAATAGACCTCTTGGTCAGTGTTCCAGGATGTTTACAGTTTTTCCATGTTACTATGAGCTTTATGAATGTGCAGATTTACTGACCTCTAGTGGGTTGATAGAAAATGCTTGTTAATTTGATAAGGGCTAAATTAAAAAATTAAATGTTTTTCAGTGCTGTATTTATTTCAGTGCTCTTTTTCTTCTGTTTGCAGCTTGGTGAGCTCCTGAATTGAATTTCTGGAGCTCTGTTTGCTACCCCTGTGGAACAGCCTATTGTAGCAACTTCTATTAACACCACTCCCAGAACATGCAGCTAGGTGTCTGCATTTTAATGAACACTTGTAACTGTAGCTGAGTATTTTAAAATCATGCTACATAAAACACAAACAACCTTTTGTGCTGTGTAAGGTGGGCTTATTTTTAATTAGCTAGGAAAGCTAGTAGTTTCTTAGGTACTATGATACTACATAAATGAATTAAAGCAAGTTCTAAATCATCCTCTCAGCTTTCACTGACCTCTTAGTGCTTATGAAATAATTATAATTCATCAGCAGTATCCTGAAACCTTCCATATCATGAAATCATCACTTAATAGAGTATTTGCATGCTAAACCAGCATGTAAAATATTTAATTTCTAACAAATTTTAAACTAATTTTAAATAACTCTAGTATTTTTAATAATTTAGTTGAAATTGTAATTTTCTGAGAGAGAAAACTGGCTTTTAACTGTGCTGTGAAATTTCCTAACAAGTATTTATTTCACATGAATTAAAATTAAGTATTGAATAGTGAGTTCACATTTGGCTGTTTAATTAGCAATAACAAGTGACGATAAGTCTGCTCAATAATTAGACTGTAATTGAACTTTACTATAATTCTGCATCTGCTATATTTTCAAATATCAGAGTCAGAAATTAAGCCCTACTGTAAATGTATATTTTTATGCAAGTTTGACTCAACAAATAGCTTCCCTTTTTTTTTTTTCTTACATTCAGTTTTATAGGCTTTAAGTATTAGTGTTCTTACCAGTTAAATTTTGAAATGATCCCTTGAATGTTGGGTATTTTTAAATTTTTAAGAAAAGCTAAATCTATTTTTTTACATTTACTAATGTTTAGTGTTGTGCCTATTACATTGTCCTGGGTACAGGACATTGTTTAAAATCAGAATCACACTTGGATTGAAAATGTCAAAAATACCTCAAATTCATATTTTTGTGGGAGCACCCAGTATTCCAAGCCCACCGGCAATGTCAGAACAAAGCAGGTCAGCACCTGCTGCTGAAAAATGGAGAGAACTCCATTATTTGTGTGATACACATGGTCTTTTTTCTGAAAAAGTCAAAGGTGCTGACTGCTTAGTGCTTCAGGCAGAAAAAGCAGTTCCTACAAACCATGACAGCTCTCAGCAGTCTGAACAGGGGAGATTAGTGGTAGCAAAAGAACTTGTAACTTGTACCAGCACACCTAAAAGGATCGAAAGTTGCATTGATTCTGATTGTCAGTTATCTACACTTAGAAGCACAGATGCAAATGCAAATCAGGCTGCAGATCCACGCCTTCCACAAAAATCTGCAGAATCAGCTAGACAAGATAAGATATCACATGGCTATTGTTCACACCTCACTGAAAGAAAAGGTGGTCATTTAGAAGTTAACAGCTCTGACATTTCTGATTTGGTTGCCAGTACTAAGCAGATCAGCATACGTCTAAGGTCTGTGGGACAAGGTGTTCAGTCAGATTGTAGGAATGATTACCATGAACATCTAAGTCAATATTTGGATATGTTCTTCCCTGAAAATCAAGAGTCAAAACCAAAAGGAGAACCAAGTGATTGTCCAGAATTTGCAGTGTCGACAGATACTGAATTTCGTAGTATAATGACTTCAAGTCAGATGGCTGTTTTTGCACAGGCTCGGAATGAGATGCAGAAGCGAGTCATAAAACTACTGGAAATGGAAGCAGGCAAAAAGCCTGACAAAAGGCAGTATGATCACTTCAAACTTGATTCGGATGTTAGAACATGTCTCACTGTAGCTGAAAATGAATATAAGGAGGTGTGTACAGGTTCCGCTGAACTTTTCATTTCTGAGGGTGATGGAAAAAATACCTGCTTGGAAGCTGCAAAACAAGAAGGAAATGCTGAGGAAAACATAGAGGAGCTTCACAAACTTAATGTTCCTGTTGAACAACTTGTAAATGAAATCCATATTGAACCATTCAGCTCAGGGATATTGTGCTCTCAAGTAGACACTTCTCATGAGAGCGCTTCTAAAAGAGCCCACAAGTGTGAAGATTCCTGTCATAATTTTCACTCAGCGTTCAAAAGACACCTGAAATCTAAGAGAGCAAAACTTAATTCTTGTCCTGCTGGTCCTGGGATGAGAGTGGATCAAGAGAGGATGACAGAGTTCAAGAAACTTCAAAAGAAATTAACAGCACTTAAAAATTGCTGCAGCAAAAATCAGAAGTACAATGTTTTGGTCACAATTGTACATCCTTGTCATATCAAAGAAATACAGATGAAGACTAGACCAAAATCTTCATGTAAAGTTCCTGTAGCAACAGTTGTAGTTATTGATCAATCAGAAACTGAGAGAAAAGTGGTGCTCTGGCGTGGTGCTGCATTTTGGTCACTCACTGTGTTTCCTGGGGATATTGTATTGCTTACAGGTGAGAATTGTTATTTGCATTTTTTTAATATGTGGATCTTTAGAATGCCTGTTTAAAATAGAGCAATATGTGACCATGGCTAAGCATTTGTAGGTCTCTTTCTTGCATTACTTACATCATTCAGCAGCACTTTGAATTATCACTTATCCTTCGAGTGGAACATCAGCTGCCCCATAGAAGTTTGCCCATCTCTTATGTATAGTCTTTGGTCCGAGAAATATAAAATACTGTTGTCTGCTAATAATGAAGATTCCTCCTATTAAGTCCTTTGTACTATTTAACCCAACAGATGCAAAGTTCCCTTTAAGAGAACACATCTTGTATAAGACAGCACAGTACTATAGAATGATGTTGTACCTAATTTAGGGCTGGAGTTGGCCAGAACTTGATATCAATCTGGCTATTTAGGTTTTGCAAAATGCAGAAAACCCAAACACAAAACCCCAGAAACCAAACCAAACAAAAAATACCACCCCCCCAACAAACAAAAAACACCCCCTGTGCTCCACCACAATATAAAATTGTTTGAATACTTTTACAGTTTAAGATGCCTGTTGCTCTTTGTTAAGAGTTCTTTAAGTGCTTATAGGTAGGTACGAAGGTAGATAAAGAGATTGAAGATAAATAGGGATTTTTCTTTTCTGCTTAGATATTTTTACCTCAAAATACATCAGAAGTGTTTCTGGGTAATCCTACTACTTTATTACTCATTCTGAAATGTAGAGCAATAATAATTTACCCACTACAGTTACCTACTTGACCTGCTATGAGGGTATTGAATATGTGAATTGAAGAATTGCATCAAACTACTAAGAAAGTTTACTAACTCATTGTAAATGGTGTTGGTAGATTAAAAAAATAAATAATCACTTTGTTTCCAAGTGCCCTCTTTTGAACTGTCTTTCACACCTGTATGTATGATAGTTCTGTAGTCAAGAAAAGTATAGCACACTTCAATATTATTGGTACATGAGTTGATAAGGTTGCTTTTTTCTTGCAGATATAGTAATGTATGAGAATCTTTGGTGTGGAGAAATCATGCTGCAATCTACATTTACCAGTCAGTTGCTGAATCTGGGGAAGTGCTCAGCCCTCAATCCAGAAGAATGTAAGATTATACTTCATAAGTTCCCATGAAAATCACAGTAAAATAGCTGTACTATACAGTTAGTTTATATATTATGTTTTATATATAGTACTCCTTTTTGTTGGCAATGCCTCATGCAAAGGATAAAATGGAAATGTGAGCAACTGAGAGGTACAAAACACTAGGAAAATATGACAGGAATACCTGTGGACATGATGACAGCAGGTATGTGGAGTTTACGGTAACGTTGTGTGGTTACCATTCAAAACTGTGAATTCAGAGAAAACTGACGTTTTTTTACCTAAGAATGAGTAGTTATCCCAGGGCTCAACCGTAAGATGTCTGAGATTTCATGAGGATTAATGGTTTTTTGCTTAAAAACTGTAGAGGCTTAATGAATAAGTAAGTCCACTCAGGGAAAGTAATTGACTGCAGGCTATCAAGCACAAAGTCTTTGAAGATATCTGAGCCATGGAGGATTGGCAGCTAAGGGAAAATACAGTACGACCGTAAACTTGTGTTGCTCTTACTGTCATCTTCTGTCCATTATTGCCAGCTGTTTAAGGCAAGTTTTGAGCTAAAAAATTAAGAACAGTTACTCTTACCCAGCTATGATACAGGATTTCTTTCCTATTTTTGGTGTGATTAAAAAATACTGTGCTTAGCTTAACTTTGGGATATTATCAAGAGGAGGCAGATGAAGTACAGTTTAATTTTGGATGAATTGTTACACATTTCAAGAATTTTTGCAGTAGAATTGATGTGAAATGGTTTTGTTTTCATCAGTGTAAATATGCACCAATTACATTTTATATTTCTAAGCTTAAAAAGAAAAAAAAATGTTCCTCTAACTTTGGGTTTAGTTTGTTGTTTGTTTGGTTTGGTTTTTGTTTTGTTTTGTTTTTTTCCTCAGTTTATCCCATAGTCGATTGTGATGTTCTCCTTGGCTTACTGGCATACATAGCATCAGAATTTCCACACTTCAAAGACATTCCACGAAGACCAGTTCAGAGGCTGGATAGTATTCAGTATATGCAGCTGGACCAGCTCCAGCCAAATACAGTAGTTCACTCGATCTTGAGAATTATCAACATTGCCATATTAACAGGTAAGTTCATCCAGTGGACTTCAGCTTCTGAAACTTCAACAGTAGGTAAAAATCAGAATCGCCTTGCAAAATTAGGTTGTTTCCCATTCAGTACACCAGTATTTGACATGGGAGTCACAAAGTAAAACCTTTGTAATGATCCACTCATGGGGGCATAGCAGTTAGAGAAATAGAGCTAGGGAGAGGAAGGGAGCAATGACTGTAGTCAGTTGCTGAAATGAGTTTAATGCATACTAGTGCTGTTGACCACTGCTAGAGAAGCAGGGCTAGCTTAAGAAAATGTCATGTGGGACTGTCAAAGCTGACCTGCCACTTTCCATGTAAACATTCTGTCATTAAAAGAACATTTGATGGAACTTAGTGTTTTTCAGAATTAAATAAATTCTTTATTATTTTTGAGAATTAAATAAAATTCTTTATTATTTTATTAATCTTTTTATTATTTTAATATTTTTAGGATGTCCTTGCCTTTCGTATTTTATAATGAAACTGTGATCTTTCATAACATTCTATTCAGAATATCAGTTTCTTTTCCTAGTTGGAATAGGTTTATTAAAGCTAAGTGTTCCTAATTTCTTAAATACATGCAATATTTCTTCAGTACTCCATACTGTGCCCTTCTTGTACAAGTTCTTTTTTATTTTCAGTGCTGGAAAAAGTGCAGTGTGACACTAAGATGTCCTACTGTGATACTCCTATTTCTTCTGCATAGGCACAACAGAGAACTAGTTTGTTAACATAATTTGGTTTGGAAATGTTTCCTGTATGTTTTTATTGTAAAGGCTCCTCTTCCTCAAAGAATCGTGGCCAATAGTCCATGTACTGTTTTTATTATATGTTTTTTTTGGTTTATCCTTCTGTCATGCATTCCTTTTTTTTCTAATAGTGAATGCAGTTATTTCAGGATTCCTCTTGCTGAAGCAATTTTCCATGTTAAAATTGATAACTTTTTTTCCATTCATAATCAGGTCCTACCACTGCTTCCTAGCATCTTCTCCACTTTCTGAAATGAACAAAGGCAAATTATCTTGGGCCATTCTCAGTATTTCATGTGGTGTCCTGCCATGTTCTTTAACAATTAAAGACCGTTGTTCCCATGTGGAAAAGGAGTCTTCCTGTCTTTTCCCTGCATAACTGTTTTGATCATCTTTTCTTTACAGTACCACTGTTGCATAATAAATTTTGCACATAAATTTGATCATACTGCACTAGCATCATGCGTTACCCATGCTATCAATGTCATGTTTATTCATTATAAATGAAGAATTCTGAAAGTATAAATCTTCATATTATTGTACATAACACCAGAACTGTTAGATACTTAAAGCAAGAGTTATTGTTCAAAAATTTACTTGTTTCTGAAAATATTTTAGGTTTAGTGTGCAGCTGAAATGTTCAGGCAGTATCCTGTGTGAGAATGCTGTAGAGATCTTAATTGTTTCAATTGTGTACTGTTACTAATCCTCTTGGTCTGCTTGTATGTGACTGTATTTTTCTTTCATATGAAAATTCTAGAGAAATGTTTTAGTGTATTCCACAGAAGTTCCAGGAACTTTAACTTCCAATTATGAAAGTCTCTTGCTGGGAGATTGAGTATTTCTTTCCACTTATACTGGTGAGGATGAGTGGGAGCTGAAAGATGCTCACATACCTGCTGTTTCAAAGGGAGGTGTCCAGTTGCTGAGTATTTAGATGGATAAAGGTAAATTAATATACTTTATGCATTCCTTCAAACTAGATTAATCTTGCTGAAGAAATCAGATTGCTTTCATTCTGGCCTGAAGAAATTTTAGGTGTACTTTTTTCTCTTGTACTACAAAATGAGATGGCAGCATGAATTAATAGAGGTGTGTGGATTTTCTGTTTTTATAAGATTTTTACCGTAGAAGTCATATAATTTCAAACTTTTTCAGAATCGGTGTATAGCTACAGAGGTGGCAACCAAAGAAAAATTATTCTAACAGTAGAACAGAACAGAGATCGACACTATAGGATGGTGCTGTGGGGAGCAGGGGCTGCATGGTGCCCTCAACTTCAAAGGAAAAAAGGTAAAGTCCTTGTAGCTATAGGTAGCTGTAAAAGGATTTTTGTGATGCTGTTAATATCTTCAAAATGTGCAACATTTTTCCATGCAAGTTTTAAATAGGCTCTTTGGAAGGACCACATAGCTGATCCAGACTGTAACATGTTTTCTCTGCTCAGAAGCAGTGCCATCAGCAACAGCATTTGAATGCACTCACTTCGGAGGACTGAGAAAGCATGAGTGTTTAAAACTTGAATCTAGACACAGGATGCCTAATTATTTAACTTAAAAAAGCATTGAATATTAACTGTGTTACCAGTTCTGCTGAGTCTTCCTTATTGTTGTCTGGTTTAGCATGAATTGCTGTTTTTTCTACTTCTGATTTTAATTTGCTGTCTTCCATTTTATTACAGTGTCAGGCTTTATTATCCTAATGGTCTTGCTATCAAGTCTACCTGTAACAGACTAAAAACATCTCTTGCAAGAATTACATAGCCTGTGTTTTAGCAGTGACTACTGCTGAATTTTGTTTTATTCCTGGCTTTGTCCTTTTAAAATATGTGAACCTAGGTTTTTGTCAAATTCATAACTGAAGAGTTTGTATTTCTGATCAGTTGATACACTTAAGAAGTAAAGGCTTTGTTAGTTGAAGTGCTGAATGTGCCTGCCTGAAAAGCCAGTTTTTGTATAGCACATAATAAAACCCAGAAAGGTTAAACAATCTCATAGTGGATCTTTTCCTATTAAATGTAGGCAGTCTGAATACTACCAGTTCCACTTCGATTTATAAGTTATCATTTAACTGCAAGACCTACCTCTTAAGCTACTTGAAGAAGATGGTCCAATTTAAGCATTAACCAATTGACTTTAATACGGAATACCTACATAGACCTTATTTTTGTGCATACTTCAGCATGAGCAGATGTGTACTGTTTGTTAGATGCTTAGAAATCTTAGATAATTTAGCATGCTAGAATATTAGAATTCTTAAGATAGGGAATTAAAAAAAAATTATAGCTGCAAAAAGAAGATACCAAAGGTAATTTCTCAGACAGCATTCTCTAATGCTTAAAGCAGGAAAGAGTAAGACATACAGCACTGTAGTAGTAAGTGTATTTGATACAAAGCTTGTGTCTTATTCTCCAACTAGTGTACTGTGTATCTAGGAGGTAGCATTTTAATGATTAAAGGACTATCTGAAATTCAAGGTGAGTGATTTCTCAGCTGTTCAAATTCTTAATCACAAACCATGAACAGCACAGCTGTGTTGTGTGTTTACTGGTTGTGTATGTGTGTACTTTTGAACTGTCCACAGTTAAAGTGCATAAGACTGCAGTTCTAGAGCATCTACAAATTTTACCTGATAACTTATATTTATTTTTTCATCTCTTGCTAAAAATCAGTGCAGTCTTCCAGTATACAGTCATCAGACACTCAGTTCACGTTTTACGCTTACCTGGTTTAGATTACCAAAAAGATTTATTTCTTATCACACATTTCTCTAAACTTGATTAGTTACAGTTTACTCATGTTTTGTGATCAGTTTTCTAATCAACAGAGGAATATCAAAGATCTGAATAACATGCTAAATTTGGGTCTCAACCAAATCTTGTATCCCATTTAGACTGTCCTCTACTTCCATGTATCCCCTCTTGCCAAGTGCCTGTTTGTCTCCTCCTGTTCAGATTTTGGTTTTTGTTGCTGTAGTGTTACTGCCTGAACCTTGCTTTGGACCAGAGTATGCTCAGTTTGGGGAGGCTGCAAGATCTTTAGTCAAATACAAGATGAATGAAGCTGCTCAGAGAAGATATTTTGGAGTATTCTACTGTAAATCTGCGCTTGGCAGCAGATTTTTCAGGAGCTTGCACTTCTAGCAAGTTACCACCAAAAATCAGACTAATCAAAAATATGAAAATACTAATATGTGCTAATAAAATACTTACACTTCAATACATTAAACAAAAAGTAATGAATGTGTATTTTTCTGACCCTATTTCCGAAACCAGTTATTTTGGCTGCAGTTTTCACCTTGAGCAAACATGGGAAAAAATAACAGCCTAAATAGTTATCAGATTTGATTAGTAGGTGAATACTTGAACCTTACAACAAAACAAAGGACAACCTAAAATATATTACTCTCCTGTCATCTCAATTTTTAAGCAGTTTTTCTTTAGAGTTGATTGGAAGATGGAAAAGTAATTATTTTTACGTCAGAGCATTATGGAGATAGAAGATTAAAAAACAGGGACATATTAAAGATGGAAGCTGATTAGTAACATAAAGATGGCTTCTTCTAACCACTGACAACTTTTCCTTACTAGAGCTGACAAGAAATTTCATAACTGGTTTCTTTTTCAAAAAGTTGAGTTGTCCAAAGCTGGATTCAGTCCAGGTGAAATAAAAGCATCATTCTGTTATGGGAGGACTTGTGTAAAGTTTATAGGGAAAGGAAAAGCCCTACATGTTGTCAGGCTTCAAATGAAGTTGGCAGAGCTGACCATATGAGAATATCTTGCTGATTTGTTTCTGTCTTACAAGTAACCTTGGCTTTCTGAGAATTAAGTAAGGTATAAAAAGTAAACTCTTCTGGGGCTTATTTGTTTTTTTTTTTTTGTTTTGTTTCTTCATTTATTTGGTTTGGTTTTGTTTAGTTTTGTGGTTGCTTATTCTTTTTCTTTTTTTCTGTAGATCACATATGGGACTTCAGATACCTTCTGGTGCAACATAGTTCTGTCTCAGGTGATTTTGAACTGCACACAACTCCGTGGTCATCGTGTGAGTGCTTGTTTGATGATGACAAAAGGGCAATTGAATTTAAAGAAAAGTTTCAGAAAAGCAAAACGTCCCTCATGCAGGTGACAAAGCTCTCAGCGCATTTGGAGGAGAAGTGCTCAGGTAAAGCTGTTATCCATAGCTCTGTAATGTGTTGTGCAGTGCATAACTAATCACAGAATCATAGAATTACTGGGGTTGGAAAGGACCTTAAGATCATCTAGTTCTAACCCCCCTCCCATGGGCAGGAGCGCCTCACACTGGGTGGTGTCACCCAAGGCTCTGTCCAACCTGGCCTTGAGCACTGCCAGGGATGAAACATTTACCACTTCTCTGGGCAACCTGTTCCAGTGCCTCACCACCCTCACAGGAAAGAACTTCCTCCTTGTGTCTAACCTGAACCTGTTTAAGTTTGAACTGATTACTCCTTGTCCAATAGATATTCTGTTGATCAAGTTAAATACTGCTTTTTTTTTGTTTGGTGTTTTCGTTTGTTTGTTTTTAAAGTTAGCACAGTTCTATGAGTCTGAATTTATTCTGGAGGCTGCTGCTGCTCAGTACCCAGCCAGACTGTGACTGCAGCCTCATTCAGTGGGCCAGAGTCAAGATAGGTGTAGTATGTGGCACCATACAAAGATAGCTTTGGGACATGGGAAGAAATGCTGGCTCTTGTTGTTCATCCTAACCAGTCTAGCAACGATGTGATGAATCATAGAATCATAGAATAGTTAGGGCTGGAAACAACCTTAAGATCATTGAGCTCCAACCCCCCTGTCATGGGTAGGGACACCTCACTCTAAACCATATCACCCAAGGCCTCGTCCAACCTGGCCTTGAACACTGCCATGGATGGAGCATTCACAACCTCCCTGAGAAACCTATTCCAGTGCCTCACCATCCTAACAGGAAAGAATTTCCTCCTTATATCCAATCTAAACTTCCCTGTTTAAGTTTGAACCCATTACCCCTTGTCCTATCATTACAGTCCCTAATGAAGAGTCCATCCCCAGCATCCCTATAGGCCCCCTTCAGACACTGGAAGGCTGCTATGAAGTCTCCACGCAGCCTTCTCTTCTCCAGGCTGAACAGTCCCAATTTTCTCAGCTGATCTTCATACAGGAGGTGCTCCAGTCCCCTGATCATTCTCGTGGCCTCCTCTGGACTTGTTCCAACAGATTCACGTCCTTTTTGTGTTGAGGACACCAGAACTGCACACAATACTCCAAGTGAGGTCTCACAAGAGCAGAATAAAGGGACAGGATCACCTCCTTCGACCTGCTGGTCACGCTCCTTTTGATGCAGCCCAGGATACGGTTGGCTTTCTGGGCTGTGAGCGCACACTGAAGCTGGCTCATGTTCATTTTCTCATCAACCAGCACCCCCAAGTCCTTCTCCGCAGGGCTGCTCTGAATCTCTTCTCTGCCCAGCCTGTAGCTGTGCCTGGGATTGCTCCGACCCAGGTGTAGGACCTTGCACTTGTCATGCTTAAACTTCATGAGGTTGGCATCAGCCCACCTCACAAGTGTGTCAAGGTCCCTTTGGATGGCATTCCTTCCCTCCAGCGTATCAACCGAACCACAGAGCTTGGTGTCATCGGCAAACTTGCTGAGGGCGCACTCAATCCCACTCTCCATGTCAGCAACAAAGATGTTAAACAAGACCAGTCCCAACACCAATCCCTGAGGGACACCACTCGTTACTGTTCTCCAGCTGGACATTGAGCCATTGACCACAACTCTTTGTGTGCGGCCATCCAGCCAGTTCTTTATCCACCGAGTGGTCCATTCATCAAATTGATGTCTCTCCAATTTAGAGACAAGAACGTCGTGTGGGACAGTGTCGAACGCTTTACACAAATCCAGGTAGATGACATCAACTGCTCTGACCCTGTCCATCAGCTCTGTAGCCCCATCATAGAAGGCCACCAAATTGGTCAGGCAGGATTTCCCCTTAGTGAAGCCATGCTGGTTGTCACCAAGCACCTTGTTGTTTTTCATGTGCCTTAGCATGCCTTCCAGGAGAATCTGCTCCAAGATTTTGCCAGGCACAGAGGTGAGACTGACTGGTCTGTAATTACCAGGATCATAATAACTGAAAGTTTGTCAAATAGTATGTCTCCAAAACTGGACTTCTCTAAAGTGAGAGTAAAACAGCTACTGCTGTTGAAAACATACTACAAAAGAATGCATTTTACAAAACCAGTGAAGTACAAGATTGCCAAGGTTAGTGTTAAACATTAAGAAGTAACTAAATGGAGTATTGCAACGTTTAACTCAAGCTTATTATGTCTAATTAGTGAAAAGTTAAATTGTTAAAGCTGTGATTTTCGGTGTCTCTGAATTAATGTGGAAGAAAAGCAGTTGGAAATTATTTGCAGAATTGTAATACCTTGATCTATTGTTCAGGCTCCTCTATAGTGGTATCTTATCAGCTGTAACCCTTGCTTTTGGTTTCAGTTATAAATAAAACTCAACGCAGATTTGATTGAAATCGTTGTTTTTGTAGGAGTGATTCAAGTGAAAGCCCGTATCTTAGAACTGAAGTTTACTGTTTCAACTGGTCAGTACAAGCAGCTCATCTTTCGTGCTGACACGTCGCTGGAGTGTGTTTTGGCTTCTCTGCCTATGATTACGTATTCAGGTTGTGCTAAATGTGGTTTGGAACTACAGGCAGATGAGAACATGATCTACAAGCAGTGTGTTAGATGTTTGCCATACAACAAAGTAAAAATATTCTACAGGTAAACAAAATTAAAATAATGTGCACTAGTAGGGAAGTAAAGTACAACTTCCTCCATTTTAAGTTCCCTCAGATAAAATTCTGTTTAAGGTATGTATGCTTAGCAATTCCTGTTTTTCTAATGGATTTTCAAAGACCTGTTCTTTAATTAATATACTATATTGTATTATATTATAAATAATATTTTGTGTTTAAATATTTCTTAATTGCTTTGAATACTATGTCAGAGTGACAAGTTTTACCTTGTACTTTGTCAGTAAGCTGAGATGGAGTAGAAGCTTGAAGACCAAAGAAAGATTACCTGAGGGTCTTGTTTCAGCCAAATTTCGAAATCATGTGCATGCACATCTATATTTTTTAACTGATTAATCAGCCCTAGCCTTGCAGAAATAATATAAACATGTTTTCAATCAACATTCTCAGAGCAGAAATATCAGTTATCAGCAGATGGCACTGTTTGACAATATGCACATTTACTTAGACTAAAACAGATCCAGTTGATGTAGGAACAACATTGTTAACTGGTTGTTTAACTCTTAAATTTATCTTTGGGCTTTTGAACTGTAGCTACTTGAATGTAGCAAAGTGGCCCTTTATAGATTGTTTATAATCCCTCTATATAAGGAAGTAGTAAGTTCAGTATGCTCTGTTTCTAGCAGTGCAGTAAGTACCACCATCTCCTTCAGGGTAAAATCTATATATTGTTTTCTACTTAGTACAAGTAAATTTAATACTACTAAGCCCCACAGAGTTCTTAAAAGATTAATCTATAATTTGATTTGCTTATTTGTGATTCAGGGAATGTAATAACTTACAACACTTATTTTAAAAGTGTGAACATTTAACAAATAGGCACTGTGATAGGAAAATAGGTATTACAACAGGATCTTGGCATTTAGAAGACTTAGTCTTTATACCTCCGGTTTCTATACTGTAGGTCAATGAAATCATCCCCTGTTGTCTTTTTCCTTTTAATTGTAAGAGCCCAGTTTTGTTAATCAGCTGTGACTGTAATGAAGCTCATCTTTTCCTTCAGATGCCAGAGACACAAGCTTTAGATAGATACATGTGTATATGCTTACATAGCTTTCTTTTTTTTTTTTAAAGTTGGATACCTAGAATGTTGAACACAGTAACAGTAGCAGTAATAATGAGGCAGAAGTTCCTAGAGATTTCTACTTTACATAAGCGTTGTCATATAATGTGTGTAAATATTTCCTCCTCCCCTCTTTTTTTTTTTCCTAGGACACTATAAATATTAAGCTAGTAAAAAATCATGAAAACTAAGACAAGAAGAGATACTCTGTATTTCAGAGCTCACCTCTTAAATGTCAGATATCACATAGGTCCTTGTTTCTTACATCTGTTTTTGCCCAAACTTTGTTTCCTGGCATGTTTTCCCTGGAATTTGGTATGATGTCAGCATTCCATTCAGATAATTTTTTCAGTCCATTCCAATAAGTGTTTGTATTTTAAAAAGTTGAACATTTTAGCAATGGTAGTAATGAGATGAGAGATTCCTAGTACTTAGTGCTAAGCATGGATTGAGTCTAACCCTTCTCTACTAGTGGAAAAGCTCGTTTCACTGGCATGCTTGACCAGCTTAGTATAAAGATACTAAAGACTATTTACTTGGTAGCCTCTAAAGATTGTTTATTTATGCCTTTAGAGAAATTTAGCTATATGCTGAAAATGTGTTTCTGACTGGTTTACAATCACTTAAATTCACCATGTTAAAAACAGTGTTTTTTAAGGAATAAAATTTATCACAAAATGGCATTTTCTGTGCACTAGTGAAAGAAAATTAAGTGTTAGGCTCTGTTTTGAAGACTGTTGAAATTTCTTTCTCACCATGACAGTTAATTCCTGTTGAAGTAAATAAGATTATCTGAAAGAAGACTTAGATGACGTGGAGAACAGAATATGAACTGAGAAACAGGTAGTCAGAGTATAATAATTAGGAATAAAGCAAAATTAATGTTTCCTACTCTATCACTTGTTTTGTGACACATCACATTTGTAGACCACATTTGTCTATGGTTTTGAAAGCTTTAAATTTTGCAACATCTGTTAGTACCTTTCTCTGCAAACATGTTTAAGTTAATTATACTGTTTCCAAAATGTTAATGTTTAGTGTTTCTTGAAGTCAGTAATTTTCATGTACATCAGCATAAATTGTCTAAACCAAAATACATTTCTTCAGAGACAAAACAGCAATTGCCCAGAATTATTTGGGTAGTTACAAGTGTATAAGCATATAAGTGTATTGTTAAGCTTTCTGTCATGAAGGGAGCCAGCAGTCTTTAACAGCTACAGTAGTCTGGGCCTTGATTTCTGTCTAGACCAACAGATTTGAAATAATCCCATACATAATCCAACATGGAGTTCTCTTACCTCTTGTAATCACTGAAAATATGAAATTTAGCAGTGGCTTTTAGATCAATGGATGGCAAGTCAAATGATTTGCCTACTGGGAAGGTGGTGTATTTGCAGTCATTTGCCTTCATGCCTCACAGGCATTTCAGTTAGTGCTGTTAGTTAGCATGATACAGAATATACCTAAATTAGTGTGTTAATAACACTCTCTAGTTGTCAGTGTGCTGCAGTACTGACTGACTGCCCTATTTGACAGTGTGGATCTGCTAGTCTCTTGAAGTGACTGTCCTTTCATTTTTACCACCTCTGCAGAGAGCACATTTTATATCCTCTTGGGAACATCTACCTTTGAAAAATTCTGCATTGAACATGACTGTGCCTTATTTTATTCATTTATTTAACATACACTGTTTTGGTACTGTTCCAATGTTGCTATAACCAGGATTTACATTATTGTGATATGTCCTGATGTTTAGTATTTTAGTTGCTTCTATCCTGACCATCCCACATAAGTATTGCATCCTCTTTTGGTCAGAGCAGTGCAGATTTCCTGAAGTGTGAGGGTTGTGATGGTGCAGATGTTACAGGTCAAATTCTAAATAGTCTCAGGGCAGTCAAATAGTCTGTTGGGTAGAAGCTGCATCAGCTCTATAAATGATTAGGCTTAGTAAAATTGCTCAAGCTTGAAAGCAAGCAGAAACTACCTGTTGAACATCGCTCTAGAGGATTGCTAAGGTATCATCTTGCAGAAGCACAGCAAAAGCCAATAGAATAACTTATTTTATACTTTCAAAGCCATAAATGACATAGCATATATTGCATAACAATGCAGTTCTCTTGTCTTCCAGGAAAAGACCACTGCTAAAGCATTGTTTTCTGCAGTTGTCCAAAAGTAAGGCTTACTTGATAGATTTTTAAGTTATTTTAACATTGAATATTAAGTTCAGTGTGTGTGTATATATATATGTCTGTATATATATATATATATACATATGTATCTCAAACTCATTCCAGCTCTACAGATTTGACAGGCATGAGTGTATAGAGATTTTTTAGTTTTTCTAGTTCCTGATGTTATGTTGGAGGGTAATACTACATTGTATTACTTTCAGAAACTTTGCTTCAAAAAACACATAGCAGCTAACTGAAGTCTTTTGTTTTCTGATTTAGACCTGCTTTGATGACAGTAGAAGATGGAGGATATGAAATTTATGTTCATGTGGTATCTGAGTTGATGGAAAAAATCTTCCTGAATATTCCTGCAGACTGGTTGAAGAGATTAGTAGGTACTGTTTCATAACTTACTTGTGATAGAAACAGGGAGTAAAGTTCCTAATGGAAGTAAAATTTTTAACTATTGACAATTTAGAAGTGGGATGAGATTGTTCTGGATGATGTTTGCTCATATTGTAGAAGATTTAAAAAAAAAGACAACCCAAAACTCAGAACACTTCTGATTTTGTCAGATGGTTACTGAAGTTAAGAGCTGAGGTATCAGTGATGAGGTCAGATGGTATGAACATTTATTGTACTTTATATAGCAAAATATTCAGTAATTACATGGATTCCTTATATGCAAAATAGACTCTCTTAGCAGTTTCTAGAAATAGCTGACATGCTTTCATGATGTAAATTACTGAGCAATGTTTCAGACAGACTTCCCTTAATGCATCCTGTTTGACTTGAGAGGTGTTTTACATGATTCACAGGTGTTAGTTTTATGAGAAACAGTATTAGCCCATTGGTTTTAAAATATTATTAAAAACAAAAGCTAATTTTATATTTGAATATTGAGCTACACTTCCAGTAATTTGGTGTAGCTTTCATGGAAGTGGAACTTGACCATTAAGTGCTATTGTGAAAATAAAGAGTAAGTTGGATTTTTCTGTCTTTTGCAGTGCCTTCTTCAGATATAACCTATGGCACAGTAATAGCAGATCTGTGCCATTTGCTGCTAGCAGATACGGAAGCATCCTATTTGTTGGAAATTAGGAGCCATTTTGTACTAGATGAAAATAGCTATCCTTTGCAAAAGGATTTTCATCTGCTAAATTTTCATCCTGATCTTTGAAGCATTGACCTCTGCAGTAACAGAGACCATGGGAATACACAGAAGGCAAACAGAAGAAAACTGAATTAACTGAAGGAAGCAAATATCTTTAAAAGTACAAGGGTTTAACGTATAAAAAGAAAAAAGGACTGGTATGGAATATTTGCTAAATGTATATACTGATGCTGTAATACTTAAAAAATTGTCATAAAGTATATTTTTATAAATATATTTTTATCTTAATAAATTCTTACTTAGTATCTGGTTTCCTTTCCTCTCCAGAAAAATTCACTACTGTTGAGACTGAATTTTTCTCAGATGTGGATGCCTTTCACTAATCTGCCATAATTCGGTAATAATTTGGTTTTAAGATTAGAAGTTCCTGTATTTGTCAGTAGTAATGGGAAGTATTGAGGAATGTGTCACATTTTGTATGATCTTGTATCTATTTCTTGGAGGGGGGTATTTGTGCTATATATCTGGGTAAAAATTTAAAATATTTTAGAGGAAAAGAAGCACTGTTAGGCACCGAGAGGTCTTGTATCGTTCTTCATCCTTCATCTCAATATAACTCTCAAGCACAGGATAAGGGGGGTGATCTCTAAAAGGCAGTAGATAAAAAAGTTGCTTTGTTATGTGATAATATCACTGTAACCCCTTATGAAATAACATTTTGTGCTTTACTGGAGTAACTCTTGTGTTCAGGAAAAGTCAAAAAGAACCTTTCTCACTTACTTCACTTGGACGACCTCGAGCAAAGTCAAGCACATTAGTAAGTGCATTTAAATATGTTTCTTAATGATTTTATCTGGAATTATTGCATGCACAAGCTGGAAGTTTTGGTACTTTAATATATAAGCAGCTCGAAGAAAAGAGACCACATTAGTATAATGCACTGTTTTATTACTCAGACTGTAGTGTATATAGACATGTGACTTCCCACCTTAGAGGTATTGACATTAATAAACACTGTACAATTACACACGTCCTCCTGCATAAGCTAGTAAACCTGTCTGAAAGATTTTTAACAGTGTACTTTTAAGATCTCCAATGTTTATTGGTATGATTTAAATAATAGAGGGACATAACGTATTTGGTAAATATGCTTTATCATAGTAATGGCGTTATCACAGAGTTCGTATGTCGTTTTCATTCCCAGATTGAACAGGTGGATGGGGTTGAGCCTATTAGATGGGTTTTCAGTGGGTTTGTGGGAGGAAAATTAGAAAATGGCACGTTGGGGCTGGGGCTGCTGGCATTACTCGTTTGAAAGACACATATGACAGCTGAGCATTCTGCAAAATGCGATTAAATATAGTGAGTCTTAAGTTCATCTTATTCAGTGGTGCAGTTCGCCAGACAGACTGTAGGTACCATGTACCATTTCAAATGAGGGATCAGGTGAAACAGAGTCTGTTACCTTATTATTCCTCTCAAGTATATTCTCATTCATAATATTTCTTTTAGGTAATAATATAAAAATTGAAAGTGTTCTCATCTCCCCAGAAAAGCCTCAAGTTTTTTTAATATATTGAATTACTATTGTATCCTGTTTGAAAGCAAGTTGGCTTTATTTCAGCTGCAGAGATTACCATCCTTGGAACATAACTGTACAAGATGTTTTGCTGCAATAGACTATCTGGTTTATGACTGCATTGCGTGAAAGGTACAGAGTTCAGGTCCCCAGAGAATAATCAAGAATAGAAGAATGTCTTACTTTATTAAAATAATTGCTCTGAATTATTTTGCAGAGCACTAATTTAGTTAACAAAGAAAATTCTACCACTAAAACAGACATATGTTCTGGGGGCTTAAGCTAATTGGGTTTTCAGTGTATGAGTGCTCATACTAGGTCAAACCCAAGGTTCTTGTAATCAGTGCTGTCTTCAGCAGAGATGTGTTTAGGGAGAAATACATAAGGTCAGGTCACTTTCTTAGGGCGCTCCTATACTCCTCCAAGCCTCCAGTTATTTGTGACTTCAGAACTCCTTTCATGCTTCTCCCTTGGAGTCAACGCAAAGTGTCATACACTGGGGTCAGCTGAAAACATGAAAACCGAAGTACTGCAAAAAATACGCTGTGCTGCGGAATGTGTGAGCAGGTGAATCTAAGTTTTTGATCAAGAAACACTCAGTGCTTTCCACCACTCATATTCAAAAGATTAGATTCAAAGAGATGTTTTAAATATAATACTGCTATTTTAAATAAATTGTACACTTAGTAGTCAGTCAACAGCTTTTGGGCTTTGTGTGTTCTGGCATGTTTACTGGGCTTCCATCCCTTTTGGTGAAGCTACTCTGTCCATGGTGATGCAATGCAATGAGCAGTTAGGCCTCCTATCATTAAAAATTCTTAGGTCATTCTTAGATCCGTCCACATGACAGATGATGGCCATGGAACTCATGACCAAGAATTAGAATTTATTAGTCAAAATAACTAATACAGTGAGATCATATTTGTCTGACTTGTTTACTCTGGTACCTATTAATTAAATTGGAAATATATTTTGGAGAGAGCAAAGATAAGAGTTCCAGCCTACTAAGGACCAAGTCTTCTGTGTGCATTTGGGCAAGGAAAGAATTTACTTATTTTATTCTTTTCTACTTCAGCATATAAAATGGTCAAAGAATTTTGTACCCTTAGGTTATGAAAGATACTGGTGAGAGCTTTTCCATTTTAAGGTTAGTTGGGGGTTTTATTATCCATGCTGTTATGTGCTGTGACGAAGAGCATGCCATCGCTTAACCAGCTCCTTGGGCTTGCTGATCATTTCATTCCAGTGTTCTAGTTCTTTGCCACGGGTGTACATGAAAGGCCCAACTACTACGTGTCCTAGTAGATGTGTTTCTGGGAAAAAAAGAAAGCAGTTTGTGATTAACACCTGTAGTTGCTTCTTCAAAATCCTTACCTGAATTATAAAATTAACTTGTATTTCTCTAATATATGTTCTGAAAGTTCTTTTTAACCTAAAATTTTCGTCAAGGAGTTAACTCCAGATTTCAGATTATGTAGTTTCTACATGCCAAGATTCAGCATTAAAAGGTACTGCAGTAAGTGAGTATTTAGCCAATTCAAGCCTACCCTACTGCCTGCACTTTAAACTAGAATCAGTTTAAAGCACACAGATCTGTATCTGCCCAGCCCCTCTACCTTAGGTGTACTGTGGAAGTGTTTGTTTTGGACATCAGCAACTTTAACAGGATTCATATATTCTAGCTGGGGAAAGAATAGTTTTAGTGGGACAGCTGTGAGTTGCATTATGTGGGTTGCCACTGGCTACCCTCTGCCAATGAGCAGATTGTTAGTTCATGCCTGAACTTGTCAGCTGTGGAGGGAGAAAAATAATGAAAACCTGCCTTTACATGAACTTGAGAATGTTTCTAAAGTGTTGGTCTGTCTGCAAGTGAAAACGGTGAACGACCAGTTCTTGTCAATCCTCAAAGCCAAAGAACCTGCCCAAAAATTCACCTAAAAGAATTTTTAAGAAGTATATGAATCCAAATGAGGGTATTAATGCTACACTATTAAGATCATATCTGCACTGCAGGGAAGATGTTTTCTTGTGAACAGTGGAAATACGAAATTTTGATTCATTTCTCTAAGCAGAACTTCTTCATGCATTCTCTCACATAGTAAGAGGCAACTTCAAGCATCTGGTTTTCTTTCAGGGAACGGGGATGTTTGTAATCTGTCTTACTGCAGTAACTCCTGTGATAATTAAAATTCCTCTTCTTTCAAATTTGGTTGGGAACAGTGAATAGCCTCAAAATTTTGAAGGTTGGGAAATACACATAAAGAGAACGTGATTGCAAAAGCTTGTTTTTATAGGATCCCAGAATGAAATAGAAGTACAGCACCTTCTACTAATAGTGACTAGCCTACAGTTATTTTATTCCTGTCTTCCATTAAATTTATCTTTGGCCTTTGAAAGAGACACGTACGCTTACTGCAAATGATGTTTTGTTCTGCTCTTTAAAGAAATATCCTGTGAAATACCCCAAACGTTTTGTACACTTTATGATTATTGCTGAAAAGGAATTCCTCCCAGGTTTAAGTATCTCTGCAGTATTTAAGAGATTTATGATATCTTAACTGTAATAATTTATATTGCTTACTTTCACCCTTGATACTCTGGAGCACAGATAGATTTAGGCTTGCTGTATCCAGCTCTGTCTGATCTGTTTTGAAACTGAAGGTTTCATTATACACTGGATTGGGAGATCCCAGAACAGCTGCTGTCTTTTTACTCTTGATGAATTTATTATGGTTCTGTAGCGAGACTTTGACATGCACACCTTGGAGAGAAAGATATTCAAGAGGAACATAGATCAGAGGCAGCTGGGTGAAGGCTTAAGAAATTTCTTGCTTTCAGGTGTCAATATTAAGTTTAAAATTAGATCATGACTGATTGCAAAACATATATGGCAGCACGGCAATGCAGAACATTAAGCAGGAGTACGCAAAGTAATTAGGGGCCAGTTTTGCAGTGTATTTTCCAATTTAAGGGCTGTTAAAAGGAGCAGTCATGTTTTTACCCTGCATCCTTGTTCTTATATTCCTAGTCCTTCCCTTCATCTGATGGAGACTTTTCTGAAGGCTTAGTTTGTTTGGTCAGTAGTTAATTTCATATATTTGATCACATGATTGTTTGATCCATACAGGGAGGCTGTGAGGGAGGAGCCACATCACAGAGCTGCAGGCTGTGATTGGATTGGATAAATTTCAGGGGGGTAGAGTCTCCTGGTCAAAGAAGATACCTTAGACAAAAGGTTTTACTAATGACTTCTAGCCCTGTGGTAAGGGGCTTGGTAGAAAATTTGAGGAAGAAAATGAGGAAGAGATCAATGATCTCTGCTCTTTCTTCTAGGAAACACTACGAAAATTGGTACATGAGTGTGGGAACAACAAAAAATGCTTTGCTTCCTGAAGGGGACCTGTATTGCATTGTGGTCTTATTCAGTGGGTCTCTGGCAATGAGATCTAAAGCAGCCTGAAATCTTCCATTCTTCTCTGCCCTTCTACAAAATTTAGTGACAAGCATGTAGAAAATTCATTTTAATTGATTGCTAAAGATTTCTTCTTTTCCAGTGAAGCGGTAAGAGATTCCGTGCTGCTACTGTGTTTGTTACTCTGAGGCCAGGGACACATGAGCATGGTGTACCAGGAAAATGCCCACTGCAGTTAAGGGAGAAAAATTGTTAGTCCATGCTATGGTCCTTTGGACAATGGCCGGGCTGTCCTAAAATGGGTATTCTTTTTTTCCCAGTTCAGTTCTACCCAGGACAGCTGTTCAGTGTAAGCGGTTGTCCTGCAACTGTTACCTCTGGGTTTTTGCCTTGAAGCAACTCAGTTGAAGTCAGCATCCCCTGAAATGCTGCCTTCTGTATAGTAGGGTAATTGCTTGTTGTATTAAAGCAGGAGGAAAAAAAATGCTTCTGATGACATGAGACAAACCACTTATTATGAAACAAAATCAAAACGTAGCAGAACCAAGCTATCAAAATGTAATTACCCCAGTAATAAAGCATGGGTTGTTTCCACACAAATTAAATCACCCATATGTTTATTTTTTCTTTTCAGAGTCACTCAGTGCAAGCCTGGGTGGACAGATGAGGAAGGAGCAAATTAAAACAGGCATTCTGGAGCTGATAGCAGAGAGGAAATAGCACTTACTGACAGCATGGCTCTCCTCCTGGAGCTTTAATCCCCTTGCCCTCAGAACCACTACAGTGAGACGGCCTAGGTAGTCATTGTAGCTGAGGGAGAACTGGATATCACCATACTCTGAAGGAGGCTTTGGAAGCAGAACAACACTTGTCAAATATATCTCAAACTTTCTCTTTACACAGACAAATGGGGAAGGGGGGAAGTTGTCCTTTGTACTTGTGGTTTCTGCCACACTAAGGGCTCAATTCACACGAGTAATAAATTGTAATGGCTTTGTTCTGTTGTGACATTTGATAGAACCAATTAATCAGCTTTCTGAAATCTCTGACCTACTATCTCTCCCAGGTGATGCCTGTTTCTGTGCCTTTGCTGCCTTTTTTCTGCTCTCACAAATTCAGAACAGAAGCAAATAACAAGATGTGTGTTCGTAACTATTTCCTAGCTTGTGTGACTTTCTGGGCAGTTGGATAATCCCTGTGCAACAGCTATGGATCTGCAGGTTGGAATCTTGATTCCAAATGTTTATCAAATACTTCTGCATTTGATGGAGATATATGTTGTATCAAGTACTTCAGCTGTACCTCTCTAGTACTTGTAAGATGGCAAAAGTTCCACAGTGCCAAGCAGCCTGCTATCACATACCTCCAAGTTTTCTTTCTCCAGATCTCTCCATATGATTAGCTTGTTGTCATTGGTTAATAGTTCATTTTTCAGTGGGAAGATAACTTGGCCTAGGAGATGATGTTTCTTCTGTTTATCGACATGATAAACCAAAAACTTCAGAGTCCGATGGAACAACATTTTACTGGAAACCTGTATGGGAAAAGGAAGAATATATTAATAATTATAAAACATCTGACACTTTAGCATGACTTCAGAGGAAGAATTTTTCAAAGTGAGTTAAAGGTAGGTGGAGGTTTCCTTTGATTATTTGAAGTCAACTTTCTTAATTTCCCTAAAGTTTTAGCTATGCTAAGTCTAAGGATACAAGCTAACACAGAATGAGTTATCTTGAAAAATGTGCAGTTAACTGGTGTTTTTTTTAATTCCTAGAGATCTAGTGTTATACAGTGCATTCTCTTCCAGATGCAAATGTCTAGAAAGCTGTAAACTCTCACTTTTCAGTTGGTCTGAAACACAAACTGTTTTGTTTTAAAGCTTTTGTCTTGTGACACCTGCTGTGAAAGCCTCTTAGTGAAAGCCAAGCTCCTAGCTTTATAGTGCTATACAAATAGCATACCAGATAGCTCATGAGTTCTAGTTTCTAGCCTACTTCTACAGCAAGGAAACTAAAAGCCATGAAAGCATTAGTTCAGTATTGGTTGGTTCTGGACTTTCAGAGCTGCTCAGCTGAACTACTCGGATGTAGTTCAGACTGGAGCTCTCATCATTCCCAAGAAAGTTCTGGAATCCTCAACTTTGGTGCAGACAACAAGCAAGATCTTTGCTGGAGCCACAGGCTTCAGAAGCCCCAATAATAACTCTTCTCTCCAGTGGGAATGACTGGTAGCTTGGTAGAAGTTTGTAGAAATTTAATTTTCACAAAACATATACTTTCACAAGTCAATATTTGCAAACAAAAATCTGCTTCATCAAAAGGAAAAGTACCTGAAAAACAAAGTTTTCATCAAACTGCGGGTTAAGGGTTTTGCGTTTCATTTTGGACTGCAGGTAGCTTCTTTCATCAGGCAGCAAGTAGATTTTCACAAATGGACTACAGGAATCAGCAGCAGGAGGCTGCAGTTTTCTGACTTTGATCAAGGAGACAAGGAGTCTTTCTGACTCTTGCTCATATTCTATGGAGAACCAGAGGCGGCCAATGTTGCCTTCAGGAAAATCTGTCTCGCTTTTGTCTTCAGGAAATTTGTACAGCTCTGGGTTAATGGTCCCTACAACGTAAGCTCCAGCTTCAAGAAATAAAAACCAAGAACATTCAGGTTATTCTCAAGACCATAGTAGGCATTTTTATAGCCACTGCTATATTTGGGGAAATCACATTAATCTCTATATTAACAGTCAAATTTTCCATAAACCTAGTATTTTAATTCCTTTTCCCTCAGATTTGGAGGAGTAATCGTAGGCTGTGACACATTCTTTTTCCTATTCATGTGACTTACCTTGATAGTTTTTCACAGTCCGCAGCTGGTCACTACTGTTTCTGGGGACAACAGTCAGGCACTTTCTGAGCTACTCATGTTATGCCTTTACAAAACACAGGAGAGATTGCTTTGCCTGTCATGTGCACAAGGTCCCACAGCACGTGGCTGTGGGATGTAGCCAGAATGGCTGTACTCTGGCCCAGTTTCTACATGTATAAAAAGATATCTATGCGTACAGTGTTTAGGACTTGTACTGTCTAATGGTGTCTGGTATGCACCCAGGAAGCATGTTTCACAATAATAAAGTTACTCTTCAAAAGAGTGCCACTAAAAAGAGTCCTGGTTTTGCAATGCCATACCCAAAGAATGAAACGATGACCGGGGCCCAGACGAAGGAATCATGTAGGGGTCACTGTCTTCCTGAACATGTTCTTCGTTCATGAGATTAATCCAGTCTCGCTCATGCAGTGTTGGTGGAATGATAAATGGAACGCTTCTGGATCTGCTCAAGACAACAACAGCTACTGACTTCTGCTTGGAAACCAAACTTGGTAACAAAAATAAGTTTACTGTTCTTATTTCAGGATCTTGTAAGAGTACTATGGGGATGCACAGGTAGAAAAGATATTGTTTTGCAAATAATTTTATTTGTATAATGCCTGAAGGTCCATCTGATCTTAATTCTTCAGACAGATCCCTCACTTTTTCCTTTAATTCTTCTTTAGAACTGATCTTTCAAAGGAAAAGATGAATTAACTGCAGCTGCCTGTTTTAGAGCCCCAAAGCTCTGCACTAACTAACTTTCTAGGAGAGTCTCCTTTCTGAACCAAAGTCCTATTGTTTAGCTCTCAGGTGCTTCACTATGAGACCAGCAGGAAAGACTGGAACATAAGATGAATCTGTCTAGGTAACAGATAAAGCTATCCATGCACCAGTTACACTTGAATCTGTTATCTCTTACATAAATCAGAAATAATAATTGCATTCATAGATAAAGAAAGTACTGTTTTCCTTCAGGAACAAAACAGAACATGACTGATGTTTTTATACAATTTAGGGGGTCTCATTTACTTATGAATATTAATACATATAGATGACCCCCTCATTTGAGATTTTACAAGTTTAAATAAACTACCATTAGTGTATGCTTTAAAAAACAAAAATATATACCTTGTGCTTTTTAGCCGAATTTCAGACTGATCCTGAAAAACAGCGTTTGCATTTGTCGTTTTGACAGCACCGGTGAGCTTTTCATAAGAATGGAACCAGCAAAATTTCTTCCAGAGCAGGTATGCAGTTATTCCAATGAGAACAAATAAAAGGATCCCTCCTATTATACCTCCAGCAACAGCAACTGCTTGTTCTGTTCAAACACAGAAGTGTATAAAGCATAGGAGGATCAAAGTTACATATGTTTCGGGGATAGACATGAATATTAAAATGGAAATATTTATTTTATTTAAATTCCAAAATGATTTTTAAGTGAAACATTCTGTTCATGTGCACATATTTGTCTTTGGTTATAGCATGATGCAACACTTGAAGATGTATGACATCAACAGAAATGAAAAACTGTTCCGATACGCAGGCAATGGCTGCAGTGTAGAAGGCTAGAGATGTGGGGGGGACACAACACGAGACTAAACCCGAAGAGCTGTTTAGGCTCTTATTTTACGTTAGCATAAGCATTTACCTTATGGCAGAAGCACTAGAGCTTTTATAACAGAAGAAAAAGAAAACACAGGAGTACCTAACAAAAAAAGTACCGTTATTTTTGTTGGTTTGTTCTTCCAACTATTAATCTATGTTGAATTGAAACTAGATCCTGGCACAAGGAACAAAGCAAAGTTGTGTGTTGTTTTCTAAGGATGCATGTGTTTCCTGATCTGTAACATCAAACTTAAGTATCTATTAAACACAGTTTCCTGGATCTTGATTACTTCAGATAAAACCAAATCTTGTATAATTTGGGGTTTGGGATTTTTTTCACACTAATAAAACTTAATAAATGTATTCAATATGAATATGAGGAATGCTGTTGTGAAAATCTCTCCCTAGACCAAGAATAAATGATTGATAGTGGGTTCAGTTTGTTGTTTTCTCATGTTTGCTGAGTATGCTAGAGTAAAAGTCTGGAAAAGCCGCTTCTGCACTGTACTTTATATCTAGCCTGTCTTGGCCTGCCACTAAACTAGTACTGGTGCACTGAGACATGATTAGGTCTCAACTGAGAACTGGTCTTACCAGAATATCCGTCTGCCTGAGCCCAAACTGCAGAACTACTACTCACTGCAGCCATGTGAGGCAGTTTACCATCAGCTGGGTTCTTATGTACTGCCATTTCTCAGGATCTCCCCTGAAACTGAAGCAGCAAAGTGACCTGCTGTTATCTCACAGTTGCTACTGATTTTTTCTTCTCCGCTTTTAGGTAGAGCTAACTGTGGTTATGCTTTATTCCTTTATCCTTTTTACCCGCCTCTGCTTGATAGATCCCTTGCAGTTAGCCACCTCTATATAATGGTATAAGTAAAATCAATACAAGCACAAAATAATCAGTCAACACTAGTAATAGTCTTGATTAAGAATTCAAAAGTAATTTTCTACAGTTTAGCTTATTGATTAGAGCTATAAATATATAGGAAGTGAGTTGCAAATATGTGTACTACTGATCTTTTTCACGGTTGCCATGTTCCTATAAGCGATATGAAATGTCCGTCAGCTACAGAACACTTCTGTAAGTACCTTGTTCTAGAAAATTAACCTGGCCGTAGTGCCTGAAAGGCCTTTATGTGATCCTATCTCATTTTCCTGCATTTGGTGCAGTCATAGGAGCCAACTTAATTTTTGCAGCTCTGCTCCAGGTGTGTTGCCTTTGCTTTCTGCAGGAACTGGCTGGCTGCTTCCCCATGAGTCATACAATCACTTATGTCTCCCAGCACCGTGGAGCAACCACCTGCTCATGGCTATACCTGAGCAACAGGCACTTTGCTGTCCTTGCAGCTGGCAGGTAGGCTGAATCGGCTTCAGCATTTAGTCAGGCTATTGGTACAGCAGTATCAGTACAAGACTTGTTCTGAGGAACATGAAACAAGTACCTATTTGGTATGGGTTAATATTAATGCAAAGAAAAGTCTGTACTGTTACTGGTCATTTAGTTGTATAAGAATGCACAGTATGAGGAAATGCATTAACAGATGCAGTCCTGAGCATGGAAAATGTGCATTTGTTCCTCTTAGTCTTACTTAGTTTCTTACTATTTAGGGCATGCTTGAGTGTGTCTTCAGTCAGATTGCTGTTTTATTACAGCTTAGAAGGCCAGATGCAGAAAAAAATGCTTTAGTTTAATGCCCATGAACATAATAGAAATTAATGGTTCACTTCGTGCAGGTGCACTATCAACAATACAAATGTTTGTATGGCCGGTGGTTTTACTGTCTGACATAAGTATCTTAAAAGTTAACATTTCAAGCAAGCTCAACAGCCTATTTAACTTTTCCTTTCCATTCTGAAGTCTTTAATGCTCTCAGCAGCAATCCTGTGCTTCACCCCCCCACCCCCTCCCCTCGATTTGTTGCCATTTCCCATTGAGGACAGTAAGCTGAGGTGCACTATAATGCAATAAACGGTACAACAGCTGTGCATTGATTTTTGGAGTAAGAGAATGAGTTTCCAGTCTCACGATTAAATGTGTTTAATGTATTGGATTTGTCCACTGGAAATTGTTAGCTATTTATGACCCACCTCCTGCCATTGGCTCAAATTCTGTATATTTATTTTTACACAGTGGTATATGCAAGGTAAAGTTTTACTCATTTCAGCAAAGCTACCTATGATTTAATGAGATCAGGAGAATTTGGCATACTTCTAGTTCATCTCACCTGCTTAGATATGCAGCAGAACCAGTAGCTTAGGGCATGACGCAGTACTAGTCTCAAAATCAACCACTGAAATAAGTTGAGTCTGCAGAGAGAAAAATATTTATCTTTATAATAAGTACCTGTCATTGTGAGGAATTGATGTATTGTATTGTTCTGTGATCCAGGATCATGGCAGCTGGAGACAGATGAGACGTGTTGGATCACTTAATCTCCAGGTGTCCTCTGTTACTAGGTACCACGTTTATCCTAGCACAGAGAAATAGTGACAGCCATTACCTTTGGTGTTGGGTCACGCTTTGCTTAATGTCCAGTGATAATAAGCTTTTCTTAAACTTTGCAGCGTGCCTTTGGGAGTTGTGACCAGCCGCTTATCCATCAAAAGCTTTAATCCACATATACTCAGATTTACTAGCGGTTACAGTATAGGTACAGTAAAAACCAAATTGTCTGGGGTGGGGTTAAGCTCTTGGCACTTGCTGTGTCTGTCTCGCAGAGCCGGCTTGTCCTCCGACAGCACAGTGCTCCGGGCACGGAACGCAGATCGGCGGCGCGTACCCGAGCCGCAGCTCGCAGGCTGCCTTTCCTCCTCCGGCTCCCGCAGAAGGTCGAGCAGCGCTACCGCCCGTGGAGCTCAGAGGCAGGTTTGAGTCCTTTCCTTACCCTGACTTCGCCGAAGCGCTGGCGGGGCGGGCGCAGGGCTGGGCAGCCGGGAGCCGGTTGCCTGTTGCCTGAGGCGGGCAAGGGACAGCGGGGGCAGGGGTGCGGGGGACCCCACTCCCTTCCCTGCGGCCGCGCTCCCAGGGGCACTCTCCCGGCACGGTCACGGTCACGGCCTCGGCCTCGGCGGGCAGCTCCCCGCTCCCGTGCCGGTCTGGGGCTGCCGGCAGCCCCGCGGGTGGCTGCCCGGCCCCTTCCCGGCCCCTCCCCGGCCCTCCGCCACCCGGGCTGCACACGGCGGGGCTGGAAGCAGGAGTTAGAGCCGAGGCGTCTCTGGTTCCGGCCAGCAGAAAGGGCGAGGGGCACGTTCGGACTGAGTTCCAGCCTTACCTAGGCTCTTTGTGCAGGGCCAGCGGGCACTGACGGGCTGGGGATCGGGGACTGGCACACCGGGCTTCAGACAGCTCATCAGCCGTCCTGCCTGGGAGCGAGGTGTGCAAATAGGCAGAGAAGTAGCCGCTGTGCCGAGTAAATCTTCTGTCAGCCCTAAAAAACCCTGTGCAACATACAGGACAAGAGGAAATGGCTTTAACCTGACAGAGGGTAAATTCAGATGAGACGTTAGAAAGAAGTACTTTACTATGAGGATGGTGAGGCACTGGAACAGGCTGCTGAGAGGAGCTTTGGATGCCCCATCCCGGCAGTGTTCAGGGGCTTTGAACAATCTGGTCTAGTAAGTGTCCCTGCCCGTGGCAGGGGATTGGAACTGAATGAGCTTTAAGGTCCCTCCAACTGTAACCAGCTATGCGAGATATTTTCTTAAGCTATGATTGTGCTCAGAAAGCGACTTTGGTAGTAGTAGCTTAATTCTTGAAATTCAGGTGAGCAAGAAATGAGCAGGCGCTTGCTTCAAGCCAAAATGCGTAAGCACAATGGAACACAGAAAGTTTGCTTAGCTGCAATTACAGCATTTCTTATTTGTTTGTATTAATGGAAAGGTTTTCAATCTCGTGTGTGTAGTAAATATAACCAAACAGATCTTCACAAAATTACTCGCATACAGTTCAGAAACAGAATTATTCATCTTCACTTCTTGTCTGCTAATGCTTGCTTCTTTCTCAGCCAGTATGATGAGAATATACACCTTACCTTCCATAATCGTTTGTATTATACATGCTTGTTCTGTTCACAGCTGTTGCGTGCATTTACATGGCGTGATTTAATCTAAAAGCCAAAGAAATGCATAGGAATTAAACTAGTAGGAGTCTAATGGAATATCCCCCAATTCTGTGGAATCTTTGAATTCTTTTAATTTCATTTAAAATGCTGCTGTGGTATGGTTTAACATTTTCTATTATTTTTCTATTTATTTTTGAGTTCTCCATAAGTAAGAAAGTATTGAGCTAATTTTGACTCTAAAAAGCTACGTATGTTTCACTTTTGTACTTCTAACATAGGTAGCTATTAAGTAAGTATTGCATAATCAGCGCTTTTGTTATCCTTATTTCTACATTGAATTAGTATCAGTATTGCAATATAGATGTTTTGCTCGGTAGTTTTGCACTTGCAAGGATAATGTCTGTTTGAGACAACTGGAAGTTTTGAGTTGTGCGGCAAGACCAACCACTGTCTGCTTTCTATTACAGTGTTTTCACTTGAGCACAATTTTATGGCTATGTGAGGAGTGATAACGTTGCGTTAAACATCTGATGGATTTATAGAGTGCTGCTGAACAGTTTAAATGATCCTAGTCAGATGCACCCTCTCCCATACAAGCTGCACTGTGTGTGTAGAGAGGTGTGAAGCACTTACCTCTGGGAAGCACTAACCACCTGCTGATCCAGCTCTCGTTTCAGTGTGTTGGTAGATGAGATGGGCTGAGCTTGGAGGAGCAGATTTCACCCTCTCCAAGGATGAAAGGAATTAATGACAAAGCTGCTAAGCAGGGAGCTTTAATTTTGATTCTGTGCTGCATCCACAAACTTTCTGCTCTTTAGTCTTTCTGTGCTGAGTTCTTGCACCAGTTGGAAATTAAAATACACGATGTGAGGAACTCAATTTTACCCTCCTTTGTTTCTGATTACTAACCTCCTTTCTAGCTTAAATCTCTGGATTTAGTAAATTCTCAGCTGAGAGCAAGCTGGGAGTTTAATGTTTTGTGGACCTAGATATTGTACTATAAGTATTTGAAGTTTCTGGTTAATTTTTTTGTAACATTAACATGTTTTTAGTGTGCATATATCCAGGTCTTGCTTCTTACAGTAAAACCTTGGCCTTTAAAAGACCACATAAAAATTCCCTTGTAACTACAAAATTATATTTACTATGCTTCAAGATAATCACCAAGATATCCTAGTTTAGAATACAGGCTAAAGGATGCTGCATTCTCATCACTTTGATTCACCATTGTGATTCTTTGAATCACCATTGTGATTCTCACCACAATGATTTTTGTAGTATGAAAGTAAAGAGCTGGGCTCCGAACAGTAATGCATATTTCTTAATGATGCTTTTCTCAGTGTTCTGTTTTTATAATTCTGGTGGCACATTCCTATCATGTTTTGGAAAACATACGTTCTGGTGAAATTGCATAGCTGATCATCCGGGGAGATACAGAATAGTATAGTTTCTACTGTATATGTCTGACACCTCTTTGCTTATAGGCCATTTCCTTGCTTTTGTGGTAGTTATCTCATTTTGAATGCTGAAATGTTGATACCATTTTTATGGCTGCTCAGGTGGGAGGCTTTCTTCTTGCTTTGGCAAAGCTGAAACTGATGCTGAAAAGGCAGATGTGGTCTCTGGAAGAGATGTGTAGAAAAGGTAAGCCTGAAAATATGCTGTAATGTTGCTTTTAAAATCTCTGAAAAACAGAAACAGTTTGAAATGGATTATAGTCTCTTAATGAATTTATTTAAAAGTCAGAACACTCAAGATAAAGAATATTCTGTCACAAAGCAGTTAATCTAAAAACAGTGCTGTCACATTGCTTGTGAGACACCAAGTAAAGTAACATGTTTCATCATTTATCATGATATTCTCATGATTTCCACTAGCATGGGTGAAATTTAATGTATGTATTTTTTAAGTTGGATATCTTTGTAAACAGAATGATATAAATAGTGCCAAGGAAACATTTCACAATCAAGTTGAAAGCATGTAATTACTTAATGCTGTTTAGTAATCAGTAATTTAGTAATGCTTTTTAGGAGCACCCCATGACAGAGCATAGAGAAATACTTAAGATACAGCTGTAGAATTATAAGCATCAGTAGATCCTTAAGTAATCTTAGTATTATTCAGTTGACAGTTTTCCTCTAAAGACTTACTGTAATTTATTAATAATGTTAAAGATACAATGGATCTCCTTTTATCAAAGGATTTTGCAATTATTTTGTTTTAAGCAGCCCTAGAATGATCTTTAAATTCAGGTATTTTAAGTGAAATGTATTCAAGTTCTTCTGCCTTCGTACTCACTTCCTTGTATTTGTGAATTCTGACTTTCACACTGGCAGCACCTTCAGCTAGAATGGCATTTTAAAAGAGGTAAATTCTTTTTTTCCCCAACTAAAACGTGGCCAGTTTTATTGAGGCTGGTGAATCTGTCAGAGACATAACAGATTAGGGTTTGCAGGAAGCACTGACGGGCACCCTAACTACAACAAATAGATTACATTAAGAAGTATGACTGTGAGTGGCAGAAATAATGAGTTCTTAGAATTTCTATAAAGCCTTTCATTCCCATGCCTCTGATTTCTGGACCAGCATTAATTACTGGTAGTTAACCATCACAAAAACTTTTTGAAATAATAGTTATTGTTATCCTTATTTTAAAGATTGTATAATAGCTGGAATTCCTCCAGAGTCACACTTGTGTAACTGAGATAAGAATTTCTCCCACAATCTACTGTTGGCCTTGGACTAACATACAGCTCTTAGCTTGAGCAAGTTATGGAAAATTGACTGTTTCAGAAAAGAAAATGTGAAACAAAGATCTACTCTGTCATGAAATATCCTTGGGGTTCATTTTGGGTGTCATTTGTTAGTTTCCTTTCAAAAGAAGAGATGGGAATGGGAGAGGAAGTGCATCCAGAAAGGAATGAGTCTGCCAGAACTGTTTTCTCCCAGCTTTACTGTTGATGATAGCTGCCCTTAACCACTCTAACTCTGAGTGCCTAGGGCTACAATCCAGAACAATTCTCCTGCCAAAATTACAGGTATGAAATGGAATAGAGACAGAGCCAACGTGGACAACAGGAAAAAAACCTTCAAAAGCAGCCATGTTTGGTGCCTCTTCAAAGGGCCTAGGGAGAAAAACAGCAAAAAAAAAAAAAAAAAGGAAAAGGGGGGAAGATAACTTTAACCTAGATAAGGGGTTTGGTTTCCTACTTTCATTTTAGGCCAGTAAAACCCCTGACACTGTTTGTGTCTGTGATACTCCTCAAGGAAAGATAGGCAGAATGCTTTCTGGACCTGTGCAAACCTTCCACCTGTGGGTATCTGTCCCATCAGTTTCCTTCTGGCACAGAACTGGTCAATGGAGCACTGAGCACACAGCAAACTGCGACAGCTTGCACAGAGCATGCTGTGAAAGATGGATTCCTATCTCCATGTTTTGGTACTCATATTTTGCTGGGTATTGGAAGTCCCTGACAGACTTGAACATGTGATGCATTTGCTTTCTCTTTTAGGGCCTTCTTACAAATCTTTTCAACACTGTTATAGTATATCTACTGCTATGAAAGTATACATAGGTAATCTGCATATCAGCATTTCTACAGAGCTCAAAATGTTTGGTTTTTTCCTTTTGCTTTTAGTACACTGTGACTGTTGGTGTTACTGGATAACAAAATTTATGCGAGCTACAGCACCACCTCCTGTCCAAAGTTGGGCTTTGTTGAGAATCGACCCAGTAAGCTGCGTTCTCTTAAAAGTGACTTTTTCATTTTTCTTTATGAAACAGAATGCAGAGGATGTGAGCTTTTATTTCTTTCAGTTGTCTTTTTCTTTCTGTGTTTTACAATAGGAATTTCAGAAATACCAAGTCTGTTTTAACAGGAAAATGTTCTCATGGGGTTTTTTGCTAACGTAAATTGCATTAAGAAAGCTGCTGGTGCTGCTTCAAGAAAAAACAGCACAAAATGTTCCTCTCAAATGACTTTTATTAATAAGCTCGGCATTTACGATGATTTGCATAAGGACTGTAGAGATTCTTGCAGAGAAAATTACTTGTGAAGCTCTGGCCTTCATGGCTTTAAAGTGTTTTAGGAGCAATAGCTGACTTTTTGTTCTGGCTTTGCGCATCACCTAGCCTTGGCAATGGTAATCTAAACTGTCAGTTTGCCAAGGCCTTGCAAGATTACTTATGTACACATGCAAAATGAGCTGTTTGCACAGCTGTAGCCATGGAAAACAAATGTTGCTCTAAGGCAGGACTAGTTTTTCTTTTAGGCAGTATTTCCTAACTTTCCCTCCCTCTGAAACAGATAATGTATTTAATCCATACACAATGTTAAGTAAGGTATGAGTACTATAAGACAAACGTGAAGGGATTGCTGAGTAGGCAGATGAGTCTGTAGACAGAAATGCATCTGAAGATTTGAATGAAGTGCAGGAAAGAGCAAAATTTTATATATTACCCTGTATGTAATATAGCCCTAAATCTGTAGCCCATAAGGGATGCAAACTTCTGAGAGCAAAATTTTGTTTGTTTTTGGAAGCATATACAAACAGAATGTGATACTAAAAGCTGAAGATGAGTTTGCTTTAACCTATGGTTGTTTTTGTAGGCACATACACCTAAAACTGCTCCATCTGTAGCAACAACAGGTTTACAGATGCCATCCCATATGTTTTTGTAGGTTTTTGTAGTTTTGAGAAAGAATGTAGTTGAGATCATGAGGGTCAAGGATGTAAGAAAAGAAATTTGAATCCTGAGTGTGGGGAAAATCAATAAACTTTTCATATAATTAAGTCCTATTTCATCTCCCTAAGTGATCCCTTTCTCTTTTCAAAGCAGCCAGCAGATGGCAGGGCAGGTGCCATCCTTGGGCTCCCTCTGGGGGCTTTCCTTTGTGAATTACCATACCGGACAAAGCTAAAACATGACTGGTGTTATCTAGGCCCAGCTTCTGGCTCTGCCAGAGTAAACTGTTCAATATGATCACAGAATCCACTAGGAGACCATCCTAATGTGTAAAAGGACTTAGCAGAAACAGGCACTGTGCCTGTTCTTCTGCTGCTTTTGAAATGGCTAATAAGGAACGTCTGATCCATTTATAGAATATCTGTCTAGTACTGACAGTAACAGTGTGCATCAGAACTGCATAATGACTTCTCCTGAATACACATAATACAATGGGATTTGGCTCCAAGTACATTAATTCCAAGTGATACTGATCAGCTTTGGCCTGTGCATGAATCCTCAATACCACAGGTTGGAAATTAAACCAGGTATAGGGTAGATAACAAGTGTTACATGGGCAACAGCTATGTGAACTATTCAGTTGGCAGGAGAATAAATGAAACAAACCCCCAGAGTCCCCAAAACCCCAAGAAGGTTCATCTTAATTCAAATCTTCTCAGAAATTTAGGTTAAAGCCTAGCCAGGAAGGGCCAAAATAAGCTGATGTGGACATGCTGCATGTAGTAATCACTAGAACTAAGACTGCTGCAGGAAGAATGCTGTACCCTGTTCCTGCTAGCTCCTCACTTAAAATATGTGTGAAAATGCTCTAGGAAATGCAAGAAACGTGACAAGGATGAAAGTAAATATTTTGATCTAAGAAACATCAGTGTAACTCCCTCAGACGTTGTGTTGCCTTGCTTTACTCAGGAAGGTAGTGTCTGAATGCTAGAAAGCAATGTTTTTATCCTAGGAACTAGCTAAACAATTTCTGTCCTTTTCCCAGCCTGGGGCTCAAATGATGCATTCTGTGGTTGGAAATGCTAACCTGAAGGACACCTGCCCACTATTAGCTATCTGATCATGTAACTTCGGTTGTATGTGCAGAAAACTGGATTTTAGGGCTTTAGTTGATACTTTTTTTTTTTTTTGCCTACCAATGTGATTTTTCTTTAAAGAGTATGAATGAGACCTCTGACAATCTATTTGTTTATTTGGCAACCAGGTCTTTAAGGATGGGAGAGAGTTAAAAAAGGGGATTTTCTTTAGATTCCTGAGACCTATGAGTCAGGATGTCCATGAGCAAAGGTTATATAAACTAATAGATTAGAACAAGATTTAGTTGCATAAACACTGTTAGTGCATTTCAATCTGTCACAGAGTCAACCCTGCAGATTATTGCAGGCAGAGCTAGCCTGGGGCTTACAGTCCATCTCACTGGACTGCCCCTGGCAGTGGATACACTTGAAATAGCATTATTCCTTTGCAGTGGGGCTGCTCTGAAATCTGTGTACTACTTTTCTGGTCTTATTTGTGCGAGCCTTATTTAATGTGTAGTGCTCCTGCTCTCAGCTTGTGTCTAATTAGGAATGTTACCCTGGTATATTAGTTGCATAATAATTTTGTCTCTGTTTCATTTAACCAAGGGTTATCCCTCTTATGAGAGTGGTCCGATATAGTCAGCCACAGGGACTAAATCCAAATCCTCTGCAAATTCTCCCAACTTTTCTCAAGCCTCTGAACTTTGTCTCTCTTTCTTCCACCATACTCTCTGCCCAGCATATCCTGGATGAGCTCCCAGCTCATCTAAGAGGACTCAGAGAGTTCAGTGTAGGCAGTCTCCTGCTGCATGGGGCAGAAATGGGAATGGGTATACTGCCGAAGCATTTGTCCAGGGAAAGGGAGGCTGGATTAGGAA